ACACACACACACACACACACACACACACACACACACACACACACACACACACACACACACACACACACACACACACACACACACACACAGCCTCAGAGAGACACTATCTTCGCCTGAAGCTCAGCAGACTGTGAAAGACAAGACAGAAAGGAAGGGAAGAGAAAACAAGAAAATGGAGAAACGAGATGGACTGATAGGTGAAGAGTAGGGTACCTCACAAAAACTACCGGAAAAGTAAAACTTAGACCACACTTGGCCCAACAAGGCAGTTTCTCAATGTCAATAGTTTTCAGGTCTTGTACAGCACTGTTTGGAAAAAGCTTCTCAAAGCCAGATGACTCTTTTTAGTTAGCTTTTGTTTCATTTATTTGTATTTTTAAACTAGCGACCTTGTAGTGGGAAAGGCATTTTAGCAAAATAGGAAGAAGTGAGGCTAGAAAGTGGATAAGATATGAAATTTTTCCTTGTCAACAAATCTGGAATCCTTGGCCAACACATGGATGTCTTCCTGGTTTCGTTAACTGCTTGTGTTCAAAAAAGGTAAAAACAATATAAAGAATTTAAGGTATGATGCAATAAACACTGAAATCAGGAGAAAGTGCAAACAGATTCGTTGAAAAATGATGTGAAGTGAAAGTCAGATTGCAAAAGTAGATCTGAGTACTTAGAAAGTGCATCAACAAAGTGAGTGATGACAGAAAGAGCCAGAACAAGGCAGAGGGAGAAAGAGGAAAGGAGGGAATCCAGGAGAGAGGGGAGGGAGATTGAACATGTTGATAAGTTGTACCTTTAACTTGAAGTGAGCCCTTAGTGGACCACAAGTGCAGCTCAGCCAGGCAGAACGCCATCTGATGGAGGTGCGTAACCCAAGTCTGCGGAGAGGGACAAGTGAGAGAAAGAATAAATGAAGACGAAGAAGGGGCAGACCAAACACGACCACAGATAAATATCTTAATGAGGAGACATAATAGACAGGGCCATTTATGTCAAAGGGTCAAGCGAAGCGTTGCATGTAGGGACACGGGCCTACAAATACAAATGCATACACTTTAATGACAACCAGAGATGAGGTGGTGTCCTTTTCCTTTTCAAAGTTTTTATTACTGATAGTGAAAAATAAAAGAGGGAAGGACATGAAGCAGTGGGTGGAGTGGGTGGTAGAATATGCATACAGGAGAAAAGAGATACAGGAGTTTTTGGGTTTGTTTTTTTTTCCTCAATTCAAGCACACAGTTATACCAGCAATCTAGCACTGCATTTAGATGAAGCAATGAATAATTTAGCCCATATTAATTAGTGGAACAGCGAATAAGATGCATTAACAAATACCTGCACTGACTAACCAGAACATGAGTGATGCAGTACCTTACCCTGCTCACGATCACTCACAAACCCCAGGTTATTGCTCAGAAAAAACAAATGTAATCTCGACCCTAAACTCAGTGTAAGTGAAAACTAATTACATGATCAATGTGGCCAAATTCCACTAAAATCTGAACAATACTCTAGGAGCTGCTGCAATTCTTGTGAAAGTAGAAAAGTGCCTGTAAGCTTGACCTTGAGCACACGTGAAGACTCATTAGGTGATCAATGTGCACTTGTCTGATTAAATTCTGAAAATGTTGTAGGAGGAGAAGTGATTCTTTTTAATTGTGGGCGGATGGACGAATGGCTGTGGCATAAGTGCATCCTGGCACACAGGCCCAGTGGAGCCCTAGTAGGCTTGCAATGTGCTTGTGAAGTTTAATTCAGATAATACAGTATGCCAAGACAAAAGTAGAGAGAAAAAAAAAAACTTTCAGTGGTGTCACACAAAAATATTATCAAGAGCAACATATAATCAGAGTATGGCACAGCACTGCAGCCAGATTAACATTTAAAAATAGGAAATGTAACAGTGTAATCAGATTTTCCTATTATGTCTGTATTAGTGGTATGAGTGCTAGTAGTCGATTATCAGGAGTAGGAGTAATGGCAAGGTGTTATTTAAAAAACACATGACAAATACCTGCATGCAGGACAAAACTCTTCTGGAGGCAAACCTTCCTGCTACACCTGAATTACTGGTAAGATGGAATAACTGCAACTAATTAATACGAACATACCAAAAAGACAGACGTGTGCATGAACTCAGACTGACACCGAAACAAGGTCACAAGCGGTGATGCTTGCGCATTCATTCACACATCACTGTTGTGTAGTGAAGGACGAACACTTTGGGGCTGACAGCTCAGACAAACCAGTCAGCATTCCAGATTCACATCCTCTGCTTTCCTTCTTTATTACACACTTTATTCTCCAGGCAGTTTCAATTGCTTCCTTAAAGGATTGAGCTGTGGCTGTCTTCTCATGCCCTTTGTTTGGTTTCCCCCTGCACTACTGTTGTCATGTGTTGTTGATTGGTTTTTAGTCAGACTTATAAACAATAACCAAACTGCTGTGATGTTTCGGGAATAAATAAAAAAAACATTTCTCAGCGGAATAATAAAATCACAAGTGCTATCACTACTGCTCTGAGGGTTGCAGTTATTAGTTGTTGCCATCAAGGGAGTTGAAATGTCTGAAAAGCACAAATGAAAAGCTTTCCCTGTTAGTTACTCCCTATTGATTGTTCACTCTCATGCTCTTTATGCTTCTTGTAACGCTGCATACTGTCCTAAACTTAAGGAACGGAGATGCACATAGTCAGGCTGAGAGCAAAGCAAAGAATAAACTAATGGAAACATAAATGATATAAATGCACTCAGCTGAAATGAGGACTAATATTTATCTAGACAGTGAGGCTTTGGTTTTCTCCCGCAAAGGAAAATTACCAGAACTGCAATAAAAATATTTCTCCACCAGCTCTGTTTGAGTGGGGGTTTAATTTACTCAAGCATAAAATACATTTTTAATCAAATTGCCAAGAATAAAAGGAATATGCATGGACCTCTGTTAAGTAAGGTAACACAGACTCATTGCTTTAAATATATGCAGACCAAATGTGCTTATGTGTGAACATTTGTGCTCACAAAAATTCCATTTTGAGCCTGGACAAAATCCTGCTTTACATGTCATATTGTAGGGTTTTTACATAAGATATGAAGCACCCTGAAGTGACTGTTGTTGTGAACTGATGTTAAGTAAATAAAATAAAATTGAAGAGAGTTAAATATGCACTTATTAAAAAGCCTAGGAGAGATTTGATTAAATGTACTACTGCCCCAATCTATGAGACTAAAATCCAACCAGGGATGAACTCAGATTAGCCCACAGATAAATGTTGATGCTCCTCACAGGACAGTGCAGGATCTCTGTATAGTTTGTATGTTTCACAGCATTGCTGTGTTAGCCATTAACTCCTCTATCTGTGCAGTTAATGCTCTCCGCCTTTCCCTCTCTCTTATTTTCTGTAGTTAATGCTGAGAGGGGACTCTCTCTTATCTTTGCCCTCTTGGTCCTCTTGGTGTGGGGAGAAAAAAAAAATCCCATTTTGCCACTCAACTCCCAAAACTACAAGTTCCAACAAAAATACACGTAGATAACACAGGGCTAGCATGGCACAGTGGTGATGGTGAAACGAGTTTACTGACATAAGAGGATTCTTTCATCCTCCCCTAACCAGCTTTTTTTTTCCTTAAGAGGAAGTCAGCTCTTTTGGACTGAAAACCTAATTTCAGACAGCTTTCATTCTGTTATTGCCAGTCTGGCTAGCCTAAAGGTTCTGTTTTGAGGAGATGTCTGGGTCTCTGGAAATAGAGGAAACAAGGAGACTGATGGGGATACAGAAAATGAGAGCACAAATAGGGTAGTTTGTACTGGACAAAAATTAGCCCTGTGGTCACATATGTATCTGAGCAGTTGGGCAGGATAAAGCAACTGAGGGTGAGATCGTTCACACTAGGTATATGAGGAGACATATACTGCATTGCCAAAAGTATTCACTCACCCATTCAAATACTAAGTTCAAGTGCTCAAATCACTTCTTTGGCCACAGGTGTATAAAATCAAGCACATAGGCATGCAGACTGCTTCTACAAACATTTGTGAAAGAATGAGTCGTTCTTAGGAGTTCAGTGAATTCCAGTGTGGTGACAGGATCCCACCTATGCAACAAGTACAGTCATGAATCTTTCTCACTACTAAATAATCCAAAGTCAACTGAAGTAGAAGTAGAAGTGATTAGGAACGACAGCAACTCAGCCATGACGTGGCAGGCCTCGTAAAATCAGAGAGTGGGTCAGAGGATGGTGAGACACATAGTGCGCAGGGGTCTCCAACTTTCTGCAGAGTCAATCACTACAGACCTCCAAACTTCATGTGATGTTCAGACTAGCTCAAGAACCACTGTGTGATTTGGGGTTTTTTTTTTACAAGTTAGGCTCAGTCCCTTAGATCCAGTGAAATAAAATCTTAAGGTTTCAGCATACCAAGACATTTTGGACAACTTTGTGTCTTCTCATCCAACATCAGTGTCTGACTTCACAGACGTGGTTCTGAAAGAATGATCAAAAATTCCCATAAACACATTTCAAAACCTTCTGGAAAGCCTTCCCAGAATGTTTGAAGCTGTAATAGCTCCAAAGGCTGAGTGGACATCCTATTAAGAATAGGATGTCACTCAAAGCAGTATAGTACAGCGGTCCCCAACCCCCAGGCCATGGACCGGTACCGTTACCTGAGTCGTTTGGTACCGGGCCGTGAGAGTTTAAGCTCCGGTGTGAAATTTATGGTTTTCAGGGGTTTTATCGTTAATTTGGTTTCCCTGGGTCTTTTCCCATGTTGTAGTTGTGCGTCTTATTTTGAAAGAAATATTTACGCATTACCATAGCGACCAGAGTGCATTAAGGGGCAGAGAGGAGGATGTTACTCTCAATGTTGTTGGCGCATTTCAGGAGGACGCTGCTAATAAAGTTACACAAACGAATTCGTGTTTATTATTATATTTATAAAACACCAGTTTTTGTCTTGGTTGTAACATTTTATTTTGTTGCATTTATCCACGACACCTTAAAGGCTGGTCTATGAAAATACTGTTTGACATTAAATCAAATAAATCAAATAAAGGTTTGAGAGAAAAGCTTGATAAAAAAAAAAGAAAAAAGCAAAATGATTAAAAAAAAAAGTCTATTCGCTTTTGTTTATTATTAAAGTTCTGGTTATTAAAACAAGTCAATGACTGAGTTCTGTATAAATGTTTACTATGCGCATCATATTTTAATTTAGTTATTTAAAGTGTAGTGCTTTGCTTAATTCATCTATGTTAGAAAATCATTTGAAGTTTTGTTTCATGATGGCATAATTTGATGACAAAATATTGAAAAATTATTAAACAGAACCATTTGTGCTTTTTAAATATCAAATGCTAAATCAATGCATTACTCTGCATGAAGTTTCCTTGTTTGTTTGTTACAGTGACTGGTGCACCTAAAGACTTCAACATTTGCATACATATAGTACATAGACAAACAAGTGCACGCACACACACTCGCACAGTACTGCCCAGGTCCTGGACAGCTGCCACACACATTCTGGTTTCTGGCTGGGGTTGCTGTGGGTTACCTGTCCCCCTGCAGAGCTTTGTGGGGGTGTACAGAGGCGCTAGGTGAGGGGTTGGAGGGGGTCTAGGTTATTGTACCCCGTCTTTACACTAGTAAAGAGACTGCTTTAACATCAAAGGGTGGGGAGGGAAAACATACGACTCCCCTTTCAAAGACAGTCCACAGGAACTACGACCTTGCCTGCTCTCTGCATCTCTTCTCTACTCTCCTTTCACTGTCCCCTCTGGGTGGTTACTGAGTGTATGAACAGTTATGTGTGTGAAAGACAGAGAGACCGAAAGTGTCTTTGTAAGTGTGTACTTCGATATGTGTGCATGTGTCTGTGACAGACA